TAGATGTGGATCTATATCACAGTGGACATGACTACTTTAAAATATCCAGTGGTCTCTGCCAGGCCATCCTGTGGCCAGGCTCAGGCTGAGAATGGGACAGGATGATAGCTCTTGGCAGTCCCATGTAGGAGATGTTGGATCTTAGAATTAGTCTCATTTTAACCCTCATTTGGTTCCCTAAGAGGATCACAGGATCAATTGTTGAGATATCCCTAATCTAGCAGAGCTTGGCACCTAGACAGAGCATCCAGAAGCAGCTCACCAGTTCTCAGCAGTCCCTTCCCATGCTCCTCCTCAGGCCCTGGGGCTCAGGGAGAGTACTATCTTGCCTGGTAAAGCCTAACGCATGCTTCCCCATGTTGGACCTGCAAGCACTGGATGGCATCTTTTAAGAAAACTTTCACACTTACAAAGCAGTGATTTCTGCCTCAGTAATTTGGGTCCACAACTAAGAAAGGGATTGGAAAGAACACTGCCTCCTAAATGGGGCCTTAGGGAAGCAAAGCCCTGGAGAACTGACCCAAATCCAAGAACACATCATATGTGGATCCAAAGTTATGAGGATGCTAACCCAACACTAAGAGTCTGAGATGTAATCCTGAATGCCAATTCATTAATAACAAAAAATAGCCATCGTTGGAACTGGACAGTTGAATTCTTTGGTCAGTCCCTTTTCTCTATAGGAAACTAGAAGCCAAATTATGATCAGAAGATTCCTAAAGGATATGGAACCAAGCAAAGATGGAAAATCTGAGAAGTATACTGACAGTAAAGCAGAGACAGCCATCCATATGCATTCACCTGCCATGAGAACAGTCTACTTATAGGGACCAGACACGCAAGACTTCAGTCGGGATCTCTGAACATTCATGGATAAACTGTCTCTCTGACTTTCATTTTCAATAATAATGAGGGCTAGGGGTATAGCTCAGTGGTCAAGTGCTTTCCTAGCATGCACGAGGCCCTGAGTTTGGTCCTCAACATGTGTGGGTATGTGTGCGTATGTACACATGCACAAACACACATGCACACACACAAGCTCAATAATAACAATGATTATTAGCCAGTAACTGAAATTGAAAAACAGGTACTATGCTAACCATTTCATAAGAATTGTCTGTTTATTTTCACAATAGATCCATATAGAAGATACTATTATATTATATAACATTCCCATTTTCTAGATGGGGAAATTGAGAAACGTGGATAAGGAACATACCCCAAGACTACAGTCAGATGTAGAGTCCTAATTTGGACCCAGACCTGCCTCACTCCAGAGCCAGAGCTCTTAAATCACAATGCTCAACTACCTTCCAAGTTTTGAGAGGCCCACTCACCTTCAGTAGTGACATTTCATCTTTATCAATAAGACCATTAAGGTATAATTCACAATGTAGTCACTGGACCAGTTTCAACAGAATGCTAGATGTCTCTCATCCATCTGTGTGGTGCAGCAGCAGAACTAGAAGCTCTGGAGTCAGAGTGTACCCTACTTCACCTTGCTGCATGATAGTGGTAGACACTGCCAATACTCTGACCAGATCTCCTCGGAGTCCTTTAAGCAATTTTTCTATGTCCCTAGGTTGTGGTATATGTTTGCATTGAAGTTTGCATCTGTGATTCTTCAGGCTGAAATTACACTTAGGGAAACTTTGCCTGACATCACAATTTTGCTTGGCTTCTTCCCTTTTGTTACCCCAATTTCTCACCAATATCTTCTGGGAGCTCTTATCTAACAAATGACTTGGACATGATTCTCATCTCAGGATGAGAAATTGCTCCTGAGAAATCCTTAGCAATGACCCATAGCAGTGGTTGCCAAATCCAGCTCACCACCTCCTTTTGTACATAAAGTTTTATTAGAGCATGGCTATTCTTATGTATGTGTTTGTACAGTATAATAGCAAAACTGAGTAGCTGTAACAGAGACTGCAAAGTTTAAAATATTTACCATCCAGCCATGTTCTGAATAAGACTCTTAATACTTTTAACTTACCTTTAAGGAATGATTAAATAAGTCAGAAAGGACCCAGCATGTTCCATGGCATCTACCAGATACCTTATGTTTGTTAAGGTGGCATGTAACATATAGTACACCCCATGTCAAGGGTCCTATTGTTAAATCTTTGGAGATCCTTTCTGAAAACTCTTCGCTTTTGATTTTTAGACTTTTCACCCCTCCTATCCAGAAAAGGCTACTCTCAGTCAAGCAGATTTTAAGACAGAGTTACTCTGCCAACTGCCAGCATAAGAATCAGCTGTGGGGCTTCTTGAAAATAAATTCCTCAGTTTGGGAGGCAGAGGCAAGAGAATCATGAGTTCAAAGCCAGCATCAGCAACATAGTGAGGCCCTAAGCAACTCAGTGAGACCCTGTCTCTAAATAAATATAAAAAGGGCTGGGGATATGGCTCAATGGTTAAGCATCCCTGGGTTCAATCCCTGGGACAAAAAAGAAAAAAGGAAGGAAGGAAGGAAGGAAGGAAGGAAGGAA